ACCAGCCAAACCCCTCACTGCTCCACTGGGGCTCCTTGTTCACAGTTTGTTGCAGGAAATAGTGTTTACACAAGGAAGACCCAAGCAAGAGACAGCTGTAGATATTTTTATTTAGAGACAAAGTCAAGACTCCCTCCTCTTTATTCTTTAAATTACATTATCAAATATATTTTGTTTTTGTTTATTTTTTACTAATATGAGTTTACATTTATTTTCTTACAAGAGACAAGAAATTACTTGGGTTCTTCTGACACTGTGTTCTGTGACTACCAGGGCTCTGTGTGATGGGTATAAAGATCCTTAGTAGGGACATATGGTGAAGTTCACATATTTCTGTTTTCAAACTTTATGCATGTTGCCAGTCATTCTTTCTATCTCATCAATTACCTTAGAATATTACCTGGCCAACCAAATGGATTGAGCAATTTGTAACTTCAGTGAGCCAGGTTTATACATGGTAGGAAAATTATCAGAGTTTGTGATAGATCAACTTAATTGTTGCTGTAGGAGAAGTATGCACAGAAGGATTGATGATCTTCAAACAGATACACTGACTTTTGCCTACCTGGACAGCTGAATTTTGTAAACTGGAGTTTAACTTAGTTTCATTGTTTTAAAATGCTTACTAATGAAAAAAAATGCACTTGGTGAAAATTCAGACAATACAAAAAGTGACAGCAGGTTTTTAAAAAACAGGTTTTTTCCTACATCAGTCGCTCGTTTATTTGTATGTCTTATCAGAAATATCCTATATGTAAGAAAAATATTGTGTGTGAATGCATACACACATATCCTTTAGACCTAGTCTTTTCTATTAGAATTCTATCTTGGCTGTATCTTTGCTATCCTTGCATATTGGCACAGATAGATTTATAGTACTCCTTTATCCCATGGAATTATTTGGAATGGAGTAGCTATCGACAACTTAATTTACTACATTAGTAGACTGAATTTAGCTGTCTAAGGGTTTCCTTAGACACAAAGGCTTTCAGTGTTAAAATCAAGACAGTCCTGGCCAAACAAGATGGCTGGTTATTCTATATTTTGGTTGTTTGTTTTCTTTATTAGATATTGTACTATCTGTGCTTTTTTTTTTTAACCTGAAATGTTTGGAACAATGTAACATTTTATCTATCTATCTATCTATTTATTTGTTTGTTTATTTTTTGCCAGGGCCAGGCCTGTTATCACTGTAAATGCTGGCCTTGATGTATATCCTAGCATTTTAAACCAAGAGAATAAGACCTGCCCACTGCCTGGCACAGCTCTCAAAGTTTCCTGGTAAGGGCTTTGGTTGAATGGAACTAACTATTGTGATTATTAGTTGAGCCATCATGAAAAAATTTAAAAATTGTTGAAGGGTATTGAAAATGAAGACGGTTCTGAAATATTGTTAAGGCAGTTTCCATAGATACATTCTGTTTGTGTCATAGATTGCATTATAGAAATGTTGCTTTCAAGAAGTCTCTATAAATACTTTATAAAGTAGGGTAAAATTATACTTAAAAAATGTGCTTGCTCCATGCATATATTTAGAAAGGAGAAATAACTGATAAGATCTCAGAACTCATATTTAATTTTTTTAATGTTATTTTCTGATTTAATATAAATTACTAAAGTGTGAAGCAATTTTACTTTACTGCAATTTGTACTTATATTTGGTCTTTTACTAATTTTTAATGAAAAATGTAATATTCAGTCAATCTACTTTCATCTATAAAGTCTTTCTAATTTCTCTTTGTGAGCAAAGAACTTGAGTAGAATTTCCCAAAGTGAGGTTCCCAGTATGATTTTAATAGTATATGGCTCAATTTAAATTGCATTAGTTTCATATTTTTTATTCATTTTATTTTTCAATATTGTAAAGATTTATTTTCTGTGACTTCTAAGTAAACCCAACTTAAAAAGCTTAACATTAAAAAAGTTAGAATGAAAATAGCAGGTAGTAAAAGCAGCATAAAATGTATGATACAAACTTGACAACATAGAGAAGAATTGAAACATTAAAAAACTCCTTATGCGAGAAGGTTGCTGCCAGAGATTCAGGCCTGGTTCAGAAGAAGACATGGAATAGGGGAAATAAACCATTGCTGATGCCACATGCATCTTGGCTGAAAGCAGAGAATTGCAGAAATATGTTTAAGTGCATTTTATTAACTCTACAAAGGCATTCAACCGTGTGGATGATAACAAACTGGATAACCTTGGGAAGAATGAGAATTCCAGGACACTGTGCTCATGCAGAACTTCTACATGGATCAAGAGGCAATTGTGTGAACAGAACAAGGGAACGCTGTGTGGTTTAAAGCCAGGGAAGGTGTGCGCCAGGTTTGTACCTCTTCCCAGACTTCAACCTGTATGCGGGGCAGTCAGAGAAACTGGATTATAGGAAGAATTGGAGAAAAGCTTCTTAGCAACCTCCGATCTGCAGTTGACAACTGTGTTTGCTCCACGTGAGGAAGACTTGAAGCACTTTTTGTGGAAGATCAAGGATTTCAGCCATCAGTATGGATTACTGAATCTAAAGAAATGAAAATCCTCACAACTGGACCAATAGTTAGCATCATGATAAATGGAGAAAAGATTGAAGTTGTTAGGGATTTCATCTTGCTTGGATACACAATCAATTCTCATAGAAGCAGTAGTCAAGAGATAAATGGTGCATTAAATGGGTTAACTTTGCTGTACAAGATTCCTTTAAAGTGTTAAAAAAAAAAAACCAAGATTTTACTGTGAGGCCTACAGTATGCCTGACTCAAATTATGGTATTTAAATTGCCTCATATGCATGTGAAAGTTGGAAGAAAAATCAATGCATTTGAAGGATGGTGTTGCTGAAGAATATTGACAGTACCATGGACTATCAAAAGAACAAACATATCTATCTATCCTGGGAAGAAGTACAGCCAGATGCTCTTTAGAGGCAAAGATAGCAAGACTTCGTCTCATGTATTTTGGGCATGTTATACAGAGAGTACAGTCCTTGTGAAAGACATACTGCTTGGTAAAATAAAGGGGCAGAGAAAAAGAAGACCCTGGATGAGATAGATTGAGACAGTAGCTGCAACAATGGGCTCAAACATGAGAACAGATGTGAGGATGAATCCCGACCAGGCAGTGTTTTGTTCTGTTGTGCTGACAATTGAATGAGTCGGAACCACTCAAAGGCACCAAACAGCAACAATAGATACTTCGTCTCATCCTCAAAGGAAGACTCTCAAACTTTCTCCATTAAATGAAATGTTGGTTAAATGGCTGTTGCTGTTGCATATATGCCCTTAATTATACTGAGACATTTTTCTCCTATTGCCATTTTTGCTGAGAGTTTTTATCAGAAAAGGGTATCCGATACCCTTTCTGCATCAGTTGAAATGATCTATGGTTCTTTTGTAGATTCTATTGTTTGGTTTTCTAGTGAACATTCTTGTAGTTCAGTGGTATGAGTCCCAAGTGATCATGGTTTTGATTTGTTTTATATATTGCTGCAGTCTTTGGCTAGAATTTTTTTCACTTGATTCTAGTAATTTTTAAATTTCATTTTTGAATTTCTATGGCCTCAGTTTAAATAATACATTATTTGGTTTCCATTTATTTATTATTTTTTCTTTCTTTATCATGTTGATTTCTAACTTCTTACCATTATAATCAGAATATGATTTCAACTTTTTAAAATATATTTGGGCTTGATTTTGTATCCGACCATATGGCCTTTTCTGGAAAATGATCTATGTGAACTGGAGAAAAATATATAGGAGTTCTGATGTTGGTTGACGTATTCTAAGTTTTTCAGTATTTGATACATGTACTTTGATATATTGGTGTTAGGTGCACATAGATCTGGATCAATTCTTTTATAATTATGTAATGTCCTTCTTTACCTCTAGTAATAGATATTCAGTTAAAGGCTATTTTATCTGTTATCAGTATGGCCAACCATGCTCTTTTGTTTATCAGTTGCCTGGAATATTTTTCTCCATATTTCAATGTATGTCTAAGATTTGAATATTGTAAACAGCAAAATGATATATCATGCATTTTTATCCCTTCTGCCACTTTCTGTCTTTGACATGGAGTGTTTAGACCATTTATATTTAAGATTATAACTGAAAATGAAATGTCTAATTATCTCACTGTGCTATTTATTGTTGGAGTGTTTCAAACTTGTTTGTTTTTATATTCTGATTTTTTAAATTGTATTTGGGTGCTTTCTTGTGATGAGCCTTTTTGTTCCCTTCTGAGTGTTTCTTTTCCTGTTATTTCTCAGTGGTTACCACAAGTTGTATTGCACAATATATAGTTGCAATAGCGTACAACATATGAGCAATAGATCTATTCCTAATATTCTTTTCCCTTCCCCATTTCTGTGTATATATCTCTATTAATATCAGTATACAACCTATATTCACGGTTTACTTTATACTTAAATGCCTTTGCTTTTTTATTTGGAATACCTTGAGTAATACTTGCAAAACTGATCTAGTGGTGGAAAATTCTCAAAACTTTTGGTTGTTTGAGAATGTCTTGATTTTCTATTCATTTCCTGGGTGACTAAACAGCATGGGGTTAGCCTCCAGCGGAGAGGTCAGATGTGTCTCAACCCTCCATCTTTATGTATTTTTTCTGACACCAACCCCTCCTTCAAAGACACTGTACTTCTATGCTGGGATATATAGTTCATTGCATTGGCTACACTGAACTCACAAGCAATGCAATTTAGGGGTTGATTAGGGGAGTTAACAGGTTACTAGCGGTCAGGATTCGTAAACAATAAGGATACAGTCATTGGTTCACTGTATCACCTCTTCTGAGCCAAGTATCTTACCAGTTCTCAGCCTCTCAGCCATTGTTCCGTTGGTGTCTGCCTCCTTGGGCCAGGGATCCAGTGTGCTGCTCCACCTCACACTGAGTCTCTATGCTTTTAGGTTCCATCTTGTCTGGTTGCTTCAGTCTCTTGTGCGTCTGATCTTGGCCTTTACCACTTCAGATAGAGATCTGGAATGTGCTCTACTTCAGATGGTCCTGAGATTGCTATCTCCTTCTGAGACAGCTCACCCGTATAGCCTGAGGAGTAGCAACTACAAGTAACCAGTGCCCTCTATTAGTGTCACACACACCCTGTTTGCAGAGTCCCACCCAATCACTTGGTGGGCATTACAGAGACATGGATAGAAGAGACATTATAAAATTCCATTCAGTGCACTGGGTAAAGGATTATTGGTTGACATTTGTTTTTTCCAGTATTTTCAATATGTTGCTCCCTTATCTTCTGACCTCTAGAGTTCTTGGGAAGAACTCTGCACTGATTCTGCCCTTAGTAAGATATAGTGCATTTTTCTCTTGCTGGTCTCAGTTTTCAAGAATTTGGAGTTGATCATTTTTCCTTTCCTGAATAGAAATCATGTAGCTCCTATATTTTCAGGCTTGATTCCCTGTTCAGGTCTGGGAAATTCTTTGTGCTATCGCTTAGAAAATGGTTTCTGTGGCTTTATTGTTATCATGGGGCTCTGGGATTCCAGTAATCTAATGTTAGATTTCATAATTGGTTCTGTTTGCTTTTCTTTATTATTTTCTCCCGTTTCTCTTGGGATATAGTAGGTTCAGCTATTTAGTCTTTTGGTTCGTTTATTCTGTTTGTTTGACTTTTATTGCTGAATGTTTCTCTTGTTTTTTTCTAAATCAGATATTCTTCAGTTTCAGTAGTTCTCTAAAAATTTTTCAGTTTTCTTAAGTTTCTCATTTTGTTCCTTTTATTTGTTCTTAAACTCAACTCTCCACCCCACACCCCACCCCCCACGCCCACCTGGTGCACTTTTTTGGCTTTCTTTAAATACATTTAAACCCAAAGCCTGGAAATGATCAATTCGTTGCATTTTTGTAGCTTCCATGGGAGGAAGTTTATCTTCTTCGTATTTTGCTTTTGAGTACTCTTTCTTCTCTTACGATTCTCTGTGTGTCATTATCTTTTGTTGGCCTTGAGTCATTTTGTTCTTTCTACTTTTTTTCTCCATCCACCCCCACCCACCGCCTGCCCCCCCACGCAAACACCTTTTGTTTTGTATCCTGTTCATTGTGGAAGAATTTTCCAATTGGGCATTCTGGTGGCGTGAAGCCCAAGCACCTGCTGCCAGTTGAAAGACCAGGGCCCATGTCCATTAGTCACTCTGGGGTACTGAGACTCCAGACCACCTGGCAAAGCTTCACAGCCTGGGGAGTGCCACAGGGCAGTGCCCTACACCCTGCAGGTTTGCTGTGAGCCAGCGAGTCCCAGCTTCAGCGGGTTTGTTATCTTCTGAGAACCAAGAGTTAGCATTCTTACCCTTACATGTTTTTCCATGGTCCTTCAGTAGTTCTGTGTGTTTGGTTTGTGGAATTCAGTCCCAGAATTGCATTTGAATGGAGGCTTAGGAAAGTTAGTTGTTCATGGATGCTGCTGTAAGCAGTAAGACTAGACTCTCTGTGATGACAGTGTGGGACAATGTGTCTTTCCCTTGTCAGGGCCCCTGCACAGACACCCCCACAGTGCCCCACCGTGGACCTTATCTGTAGTCCTAGCCAGACTGAAGTGTCCCATCTCCCCCTGCTGCCTTTGTGTTCGTCTTGGACTTTGTACTCATCAGTCATGGACCTCAGCAAAATTCAGCAGCACTCTGACACAGCTGTCTTTATGTGGCCTGCGAACTCCCATGATCGTTATACTGCTTTTAAAAAAGTAATAATAATAAATAGGCTAGAACTTCCTCAGAGTAGCTCCATTTCCGTGCTCCCTGTTTGAAGTGTTACCCAGCCTCTGCCCCAAAATGACTGTGGTTGATGAGTGAGCCCTTCCGCCATCCTTTTCTTTTCTTTTTTTTAAAATCATTTTATTGGGGGCTCGTACAACTCTTATCACAATCCATACATCAATTGAAGCAGGCAAGTTTGTACATATGTTGCCCTCATTCTCTTCTGGACATTTACTTTCTTTTTCTTTAAATCATTTTATTAGGGGCTCATACAACTCTTATCACAATCCATACATACATCAAGTGTGTAAAGCACATTTGTATATTATTGCCCTCATCATTCTCAAAACATCCTTTTCTCCCCTCCTATGGACCCACCTCAGCTCACCAATAGCTGAGCTGCTGTCCAGCGTCCTGAAATTTCAGTCTATGCTTATTTTCATTCATTGTCCAGTGAGTTAATTGCTGGGGCAGTAAATGAGATCATTCAGTTTGCCATCTTATCTCGATTCAACACATTAAATTTTATTTCTTACCCATTAATAAATTGTGAGAAAAACAAACAAACAAACAGACACACACATAAAAACCTGCCTAAAAGGACTTGCTATTTAAAGCAGCCTTGTTAGGTCATTTATGAGATATTATTTTAAATCTGAACTGTCATTTTCTTCATTCTGATTTATCAAGTTTTATAAAGTTGACAGGAGGTTAGGAGATTTTTTTTCTTTTTCTCATCAAAGTACCATGATATTAAACATGCTTAAATTAATGAAACATGAGTTAAGATTATTCTATGTAGCTTCATGTTTAGAAAATAATGTTATGGCTTTCACCTTAGCCATGAGACCAGAAGAACTGGATAGTATATGGCTGCTCTTTGGCTATGATTACTAAACATTTTGACCAGAGATTCTGTAGAGGAATTCTGTCCAAAGGGGGAAAAAGCAAAATGGAATTTTGAATTATCATGGACTCATAGTGGCTGGATAAGCCCCCAAAACTATAGCCATCTTTAAAACTTAAGCCAAAAATATTGTGTTAGTCTGGGTGGACTAGAGAAACAAATCCCGCGTCACCCATACGTGTATAGCAGAGAGCTTTATATCAAAGAGCAATTATACATTAAGAAAACATCCCAGCCCAGTCCAGATCAAGTCCTGAAGTCCGATATTAAACCATATGTCCAAGACCAGTCTATAAATTCCTCTTCATACTCAAGCAATGCATGCAATTATGCCAAATGCAGGAAGATCATAGGCCTGTGGGTGGAAAGTCTAGTGAATCCAATGGTGGTAGAAGCATCTCAGCATTGCCATGGGTCTCCACGTGGCTCCTTCAGCTCTAGGACTCAGGATGGATTCGGCGTGGTTCCACGTGTCTTGTCCCACCTCCAGGGGGGAAAACAGGAGTTCTCAGAATCCTCAGGAGAAGGCCATACCCACACAGAGGCATTATTTACTACGTTCTGATTGACAAGCTAGACACCCCTTCGCTCATGTTGACAGGAGATGATGTAACTATCACAAATATTTCTTGAAGTTCTTTTAAAATCAAACAGTAGTTGAGCTGAACTAGCGAACAATTTCTGACTTCAGTACTATGCTGTGGTGGGATCTATATGGGATCAAATGGACAAGAGCAACTTGAAAGATTAGATAGGAACCTTTGAGATCTGTAGATTAATTTTAATGGGGAGGTAACAACTTAGAAAAGGGGTGTGAGAATGGTTGTAATTAGCATCATTAAATTGTACATGTAGAAACTGTTGAATTGATGCTTGTTTGCATATTCTCAACAGGAGAATAAATACAAATTTTTAAATGTTAAGATAGGAAGGCTTCACAATGTAAACTGTCTAAACTAGAATTTAGAATTTATATGTATATTATATGTTTTTGTCTTTGTTTTTGCACAGTTTTAATGTCAGATTCTGCCTAAAGGCTGATGGAAAAGGAGCACTTCCCAGAATACTTAGTAAGTTAAACTCTAGGAAAATTATATTGCTCTAATGATCCTGCATTTATGTTCCTCAACAATGTTTTTGGATATTTAATAATTGCTTTACTTGCCAATTCATGTTTAAAGATACTAAAACTTGCACCATAATTATGTCCTTTATTTAGGAACTCTTAGCCAGTTGAGAAATAATACTTTAATCATGGGCACTTCTGTAAGCAAAATGATCCACTGAATGATTAAGAAAGTTAAGCAATTACCAATGTGAGGTAAATAATTATTGAGGGGGGAAAAGGCATTGGTTCTAAGTGAAGGGTGTACTGAGTTTATATTTATGTCTTAGAGAAATCATTTCCCAATTTGCTCTGGGTTATGTGTACTCTGGTTGCCAGCTGACTAGTTAAAGCAATTCTAGGAGCAGAGGTGGGTCTTATAAGAGGAAAGGACATTTTAGCTACTAAATTTGAGACACACCGCAAACTCTTTCCTGATTCTTTCTTAAAACTACTTTTATGTAACTCTGAGAGCAAAACAAGTGTTCCACAATCGCTGCTGATACTTGTCCTTATGTGAGATAGTGACAAGTGATAAGGAATAGTAATACACCAGGGAAGATGACCAAGACCATTGGGTTTATGCATGAGCTTTTTCCTGGGGGATCTAGGCAGTGTTTCAGGGAAAGGGTGACAAGTCAGATGTCAGTCAGCCGGAATATTTTACACAGATGAAATGATGATTTAAGAGGCTTGAGACGTGTTTGAGAAACAGTGAGAGGACAATGCGGATTGGCAGGACAGAAATAGAATATAATTAACTCATAACACAGCTTTCAGTGAAATTTGAAACAAGCTCCAACATTTTAAGAAATGTGGAAGGAGACAATAGTTTTAAAGGCCTGTCCACATCTCCTTTGAAGAAATTACTTAAAGGAATATTCTTTGAAAGTTGTAGTCCTAGCAGCTATATGCTTCAAACTAGTGCCAGGCATGTTCACTAAGAGGGTTCTATTCCCTTTAAGGAGTCTCTGGGTGGCACAAATGGTTAACATACTGTTTGAAGGTCGGTTATACTCAGTCGTGCCTCAGAAGAAGGTTCTGGTGATCTGTTTCCAAAAACTCAGTGGTTGAAAGCCTGATGGAACACAGTTCTACTTTGACAGACATGGGGTCACCATGAATTCAGGTCGACATGTTGGTCACTGCTCATTACCTGCTATTCTCATTAAACTTGTTTCATGAGAGTCTTCTTTGCCTGGCAGTCTGATGAATTGCAACAGACTTGGTGGCATCTCCTAGCAAAAGGGCTTCATTGGAAGCAGAAGTTGCGTATGTTGCAACCATTCATTGCATCAAATTTAATAGTAGTGCATATCAGTAAACATTTGTTACTCACAAGCAGCAAATAGTCCTGCTGTAAGCATTATCAATTCACTTGTAGCTCATGCTATAAAGTTTTTACCCTCAGTTTAAAAGGACAAAAACGTCTCATAATAGTTTCAATATTAATAAATTTTGTGGATGTTAGGATTAAAGTTAGTGATCAAATATTTATTCAGAATGAATGTGTTGGTAGTTTTACTACAATGTATAGATTCTAAAAGCAATAACAACAAATGATAATCAAACTATTTCCTGAGGAGTAAATGGTGTGTGTGTAAACTTTAGATATCTAGATCAGCTCAATGTCTATAAGAACACGTTGCTTATATATATTCCTTGGCTGTTACAGCCTTCCAGGTGCAGCTTCTTTTGGATAAACTCAAGCAAAAGGGAGCGATTCGGCGAGCACTGTTTCTCCATAACAGGTCCCCTGGCCACTCCAAGAACATGACCATTTCAAGAGGGGGGCAGATGCAGTGTGAGGAACTGATAGCTTATTTGCGGGTAAGCGACTACTTTTTGGCTCCATCTTATTTATATATGTGTGTATAATTATATATGTGTGTGTGTATATGTATATACACACACATACACACGTATATGTGTATGTGTACATTTTTTTTCAGACTGATAGTTCTTCATCTAAATTATTTCTACTTTCTTGGAGGGGAAAATTTTTTTTTTTTCGTTTTGTTGCAAAACCAAAAAGAAAGCCAGAAATTTACACTTGAGGAAATTTGAACCTTTTTAAAGTGTCAAACCTGAGTAATGGATTTCTATTCCTATTCCTGGCAGTATAGCTATTCCAAAAGGCTTTCCCATTGAATAAATTATGAGTAGAATATTTCTTAAGCACTACTGGACTGTCAAGAAAGTGAAGGAAACTTCCAGAGTCCACAACATAATCCATCAACTAAAAACTCCAGGGACTAAGTCTAAATTGTGAGTTGCAATCAAATGTGTGAGCCAGTGTTTTTGGTGAGGACCAGCGGCTGAACAGGTTGTGCAGTAGTTGCACATCCCTGCAGTGGGATTCAGACTCCCTGGGCCTTCTGCAAATCAGGGCTCTGAGTCTGAATGCCAGCACTTAGCCCAGACACTGGCATAAAAGTAAAGGGCTCCCTGAACAGAAGAGCACCCTGGCTCCAGCAGGAGCAAGTGCACAGTCCTAGAGAGCAGAGCAGTCCAATAGAAACCCATGATTTTCACAGGTTAGGTTCAACCAAATAGGAATTCCATTTAAACAAAACAAACTATAAAAATTGACATGTACCAATACCAGGAAACAAGCCACTAGAAGAAAAAACAGAGGAGAGCCTGTGAAGGCTGGAGGTGTTACAATGACCACTGACTGAATATGCATTTTTATTTTGTTTAAAGCGTACGTTTTTCCAAATTCTTTTGGCCTATTGTCCCTTTTCAGGAAAAGGAAAAAAAAAAGTACTCAGTGCCCCCTGGGGACTGAGAACTTTATACCCTAGCCCATAATCCAGGAGAAAGTGTAGGTATCTTCTTTTGCAGCCCACCTGGATCATTCTAGCTCCTCTGAGGGGGTGGTGGTGCCCACTTTAGGAAATATTAGTTTAAAGGATAAAAATATTTTTTTAATGTAAAACAAAATAGAGCAAGACACTTGCCATTTCAGCCTTCTTTACATGTGAAATTCAATGACATTAAATATGTTGTATAACCAGAGGATGGATGTTTTAAAAGAAGTAAAAACAACAGTAAAGATTTTGCAGACACATAATTGGCAGTTTGATTTGATGACTGTATAGAGCCCTGCACCTAGCCAACAATTAGAAAATAGAAGCACTAACCATGTATAGGTCATAAAGGAAGTTTACATCAATTTCAAAAACCTAGTATCATAGAGGACATGCTCTCCGAGCACAACCCACTTTTAGAAAAATCAATAACAAAATTATAGGAATTAAATAATTATTTTAAATAACTTAGGGGCTAAACGTAGTCACCATGCAACTTATTTAGAATGAAATTAAATAAAAAGTCTGTATCAGAATGTGCAGGATGTCAAAGGAGCAGAATGTGAGGTAAATATATAGCCTCTTTTTTTTTTAAAGACCAAAGACTACAAATTAGTGAGCTAGAGAACTTCGTGGTTAGAAGGCTGGGTGGGTAGTAAGAACTAAAATAATGGATTTGTTAAAATGATAGATTAACTTTTTGAAAGATAAATCAAGGGGGGGAAAGAAGAAGAAATCTTCTTAAAACCAGGCATTGAGAAGGGATGTACAACAGAGTTTTGATAGATTTGCAGGACCAAGGATAACGATTGCTCGTTTTGTATTGCACGTCCATGCAGTTCTTCAGTTGAAGTCCATGTCATTAATTTGAAGCTTTTTCGCTTCTAGGATGAATCTGAATTTAGGGACAAGCTCACGCCAATTACTATTTTTATGGAATATCGATTAGATTATCGAACAGCTGCTGATGCAACAGGCTTGCAACCTATTCTGAACCAGTTCACTCCTGCCAACGTTAGTCGACAGGTACTGTGCTTTCTCAGTTTATCACGATTTTCACTCTTTGTTTCCTTTAAAAGGTCTTGAATTTATGGTTTTAAATATAAGGGATTGTGTTTTACAATATGGGACATTTTTAGACAAGGAGAGCACTAACCATAAAACATCATTGGCTTATAACTTGGTATGTATGAAAGAAATATAAATGTGTGTTCAAAATGACACTGTACCAAAAATCTAGAAAGCTCAAGAAAAAAAAAATTTCAAATTTCAGCCATTGTCAGTATAAGGACTACATTGTAATGTCTTATGATTCTATTGTAAAGAAGTCAGAGAAGAAATTTGAATTTTCAGATCAGATACTTAAATTATGCAGAGCTTACAAAATGATTAGAGAAAGATAAGGATATATATGTGTGTGTGTGTGTGTATTCACACACACAAAATTAATTAAAGGAAACAACAAAGAACTAGTTTACTTACAAAACATTTTATTCTTTTATTATGCATCTTTGAAATACATTTTAACTTTGACTTACATTTTAATTGTAAAATGTGTGTATATATGTCCCTACACACACGTATTTTTGTAGTATATAAGTTATTCTTTCCTAAAACCAAATTAAACAATAATTTTCATGTAGACTTTATCATAATATTTTTAGCAAACCAGGGTAAAATCTGTGCACTCAAGTGGTGTATTTCTCATTTCTGCCTTATCCTCTTGTCATGTTCACAGTTTCAGATGAATATTTTTGATCCCTTCGAATTCATTTTCCTAAATTTTGTTTCTAATTTCTCTTTTGCCTTCCCTTCTAAGATCCCTTAAGTGCTTTTATTTTCAAAGTTGAGAAGAGCCTATCTGATAGCAACATAAGGCTAATTCAAATCTGTGAATTTTACATTTTATAACTTTAAATTTTTTTTACTTTTTAAATTTCATTTTGCACATTGATACACTGTTTTCTGCATTTATTAATTTAGAAAATGTAACATTAAAAAATACAGCCAAACTCTCAAACTTACTGCCATCAAGTTGCTTCTGACTCACAGGGATCCCATATGAGGTTTCCAAGACTAAATCTTTATGGGAGCAGTCACATCTGTAGCAGCTTAAAGGTTTGAAAGGCTGATTTTTTTTAGCAGGCCATGCCTGTCCCACAGTGCCACCAGCGGTCCATGTTATTGAATACATGTTTTTGATATATTTTTCTTTTCTTTCTTTTTTTTAAATCATTTTATTGGGGGATTGTACAGCTCTTATCACAATCCATACACCCATCCATTGTGTCATGCACATTTGTACATATGTTGCCATCATCATTTTCAAAACATTTTCTTTCTACTTGAGTCCTTGATATCAAGTCATTCCCACCCCTTTTCTCCTCCCTTCCCCCATGAACCCTTGATAATTTATCTTTTTTTTTCATGTCTTACAATGACTGCTGTCTCCCTTCACCCACTTTTCTGTTGTTTGTCCCCCAGGAAGGGATTATATGTAGATCATTGTGATCAGTTTTGCTTTATTCCCCCCACCTTCCCCTTCCCCTCCTAGTATCGCCCCTCCTAGGATCGCTATTCTCATTATTGGTCCTGAGGGGTTTAGGTTTATCTGTCCTGGATTCCCTGTGTTTCCAGCTTTTATCTTTACCCGTGTACATGTTCTGGTCTACCCGGATTTGTAAGGTAGAATTGGGGTCATGGTATGAGAGGGCGTGGGGGGTGAGCATTAAAGAACTAGAGGAAAATTATATGTTTCATCGGTGCTATACTACACCCTGACTGGCTCATCTCTTCCTTGTGACCATTCTGTAGGGGAATGTTCAGTTGTCCACAGATGGGCTTTGGGTCTCCACTCTGTGCTCATTCACATCAATATGATTGATTGTTCTGAGTCTTTCATGCCTGATACCTGATCCCATCGACACCTCATGATCACACAGGCTGGTGTACTTCTTCTGAGTGAGCTTTGTTGCTTCTCAGCTAGATGGCTGCTTGTTTATCTTCAAGCCTTTAAGACCCCAACTGCTCTATCTTTTGATAGCCTGGCACCATCAGCTTTCTTCACCACATTTGCTTATGCACACATTTTGTCTTCGTACCCTTCCATTCTTATTATTTATTTTCCTCTAAAGTGAATCCTTGTTCTTTGGTTATATTATTGAAAATTTTTTTTACTGCCTTGTCTTTGTAGTAGGCAGTCTCTGTGTAGTAGAAATATGTATGGGTCATGTTTGTAATTTTAAGTATGCTAGCTGTAATATGAAATAAAAGTAAAAAGAAACATTTATTTAAATACTATCCAATGCATTTTAAAAAATAATTTTATTGGGGGCTCGTACAACTCATCACAATCCATACATACATCCATTGTGTCAAGCACATTTGTACATTTGTTGCCATCATCATTCTAAAAACATTTGCTTTCTTTTTGAGCCCTTGATATCAGCTCCTCATCTTCCCCCCTCCCTCCCCATGCCCCTCTCCCTCATGAACCCTTGATAATTTATAAATTATTATTATTTTGTCATATCTTACACTGTCCAACGTCTCCCTTCACCCACTTTCCTGTTGTCCATCCCCCAGGGAGGAGGTTATATGTAGATCCTTGTAATCAGTTCCCCCTAACATTTTTATTTCATTATCTACTAAATTTATAAATTATCAGTGAGATGTCTTGCGTTCATTTTAGCTTTATAGAAAATTGTAAAATCCAGACAGTTTTACACTTCCAAATCAGATACCAAGGCTTCATTGAAATAATCAGTATTTGTATTTCATATAGCTCAGGTTGAAAAAGTTGATTCGCATATTCGAATTGTAGGTACATACTAAAAGTAAGCGCTCAACAGCACTCATCACTAGCATTTCCATTTCCATGCCCTGCTTAAGGATTATAAGTGCTTCATAGTATTCCTTCTTCATTTACACATTCAGATATGTGTTAAGTTCTTATTTTTAAAATGATATCTTAACTAAATAAGCCATAGTGGTCATATATGGCTCTCTCTGTGTGGAAGACAATGGTCTGAACAGTCTATAATGAGGAACTCCAGAGGGAAGTTTATCTGCCCCCAAATTATATATCTTAGCAGCAGTATCAAGGTCAACCCTTATTTCTTTCTCTTCTACACCAGAGTTCATTCCGAAATTATAACAGCTTAATTTGAGATGGAAAAGTTTTGCCCTGTCACCAGTCACCACTGTGTGTATAGTGTCCAGGCATTTAAAAGTTTATTCTGTAAAAGCCAACAATTTATGTATTGTAGTTTGTAGACAGCCTATAATTATTTCATTTCTGTTTATAACAGTGTCTTAAATTCTATACTATTGGATAAATTAATGATACTATCAATGTTTTTACCTTATATCCATGGGGGGTGATGGATAATGATGAGTGATGTTCTCTATTTAAAACGGAAATGATGTTTCTAAAATGAACCTGAGACATACAGAAACCATCGGTACATGAATGCATTTGGGGTTTGCACTTAATTCTAGCCCCAGTTTAACAAAAGTTAGCTCTGTGACATGCCTGCTTGATCCTCACCCTCAGAAAGATCACTGAAGATATGAGTGCTCTAGCAAAGTGTGGTGAAGAAATTAGATGATGTCCAGCTATAAGAAAGAATAGTATCTAGGGAAGTGGTTCTCAACCCTCCTAATGCCACAACCCTTTAATACAGTTGTTCATGTTGTGGTGACCACCCCCCCAACCATAAAATTATTTTCATTGCTAGTTCATAACTGAAATTTTGCTACTGCTGTGAATCAGGCGACCACCGTGAAAGGGTCGTTTGATGCCCAAAGGGGCACGACCCACAGGTTGAGAACTGCTGATCTAGGCTCTTAAAGGCTTATTTTCAAACAAGCAGTCATCTAAGTGAAGAGTCAACTAATTCCACATGAAAGAAGCACACCAGCCAATGTGATCCAAGGATTAAAAACTATAAAATCTAAATTAGAAGGAGGGATTGGTTTGAGAGCTTAAATTGTGAAAACCCAGTTTGCAGAAGGCTATGGATGACAGTGGAAGACCATTTGCAGGGTCCTCACCTGGATTAAGCCTCTAGTGAATTCCCTCTGGCCAAAGCCCAGGGATGTAAATAGCTTTGTTATCAGACAGGGCATGATAAAGCTGATAATGGCAGATATAGGTTAAAATGTAATATCAATTGATCTCCTTTTGGCCCATTTTAAAGTCATTTCAATTTTTTTTTAAGTGAAGGAAAATACATGTGGATTAAACCTCCAGCTGACCCAATGGTGGTAGAAGTGTCAGTTGTAGATAAAGATGTAGTGTGGAGTCTTTGGCAGACCCCTATTGGTGAATCACAGTGTAAACCATTGGGATTTTGGAGTAAAGTCTTGCCATCTTCCGCAGACAACTACTTCCCTTTGAAAAACAGCTGTTGGCCTGTTACTGGGCCTTGGTGGAGACTGAACGCCTCACCATGGGCCACCAAGTCACCAGGAGGCCTGAACTACCTATCATGAACTGGGTATTGTCTGACCCATAAAGTTGGATGTGCGCAGCAACACTCCATTGTTAAATGGAAATAGTATATACGAGATTGTGCCAAAGCGGGACCTGAAGGGACAAGTAAGCTGCATGAAGAAGTGGCTCAAATGCCCACAGTCTCCACTCCTGTCACATTACCTTATTTCTCCCAGTCTGCACCTATGGCCTCCTGGGAAGTTCCTTAGCATACTTCAACTGAAGACCAAAAAAGTCATGTTTGGTTTACGGATGGCTCTGCACGATATGCAGGTACCACTTGTAAGTGGACAGCAGAAGCACTACAGCCCCTTTCTGGGTTTCCCTGAAGGACAGTGGTGAAGGGAAATCTTCCCAGTGGTCAGAACTTTGAGCAGTGCACCTGTCTGTTCAGTTTGCATATAAGGAAAAATGGCCAGATGTGTATACTGATTCATGGGCTGTGGCTAATGGCTTGGCTGGATGGTCAGGGAATTTGGAAGCACCATGATTGGAAAATTGGTGACAAGTGGGTGTGGGGAAGAGGTATGTGGATAGACCTCTCTGAATGGGCCAAGAGTAAAGGCAATTGTATCTCACATGAACACTCACCTCTGAGGAGGAGGACTTTAATAATCAAGTGGATAAGATGACACGCTCTGTGGAGACTGGGCCTCCTCTTTCCTCTGCCACTCCTGTTATCGCCCAATGGGCACATGAACAAAGTGGACATGGTGGCAGCGATGGAGGTTATGCAGGGGCACAGCAACATGGACTTTCACTCACCAAGGCTTACTTGGCCACTGCCACTGCTGAGTGCCCCATTTGCCAGCAGCAGAAACCAACATTAAGTCCAAGATATGGGACCATTGCTCGAGGAGATCAACCAGCAACCAGGTGGCAGGTTGATTACAAAGGACCACTTCCATTATGGAGGGGACAGCGTTTTGTTCTTACTGGAATAGACACCTACTCTGGATATGGATTTGCCTTCCCTGCACGTGATGTTTCTACCAAAACTACTATTCGTGGACTTACAGAATGCCTCATCCACCGGCATGGCATCCCACATAGCATTGCTTCAGATCAAGGAACTCACTTCACAGCAAATGCAGTG